CTGGTATTCACTCCAAAATCAAAATGGCTTTATAATTGAGACTGTTTAGGTTTTTGGGGGATTATTGTAAGGTGGTTGTGTCCACACAGTTCTAAAACACATTTATGCAAATTAAGATATTTTGCATCCAATGTCTCCTTACACTACTTATTACATTTTAAGTAGGGTAACTTGTAATCTGTAACCTATTAACATTTCCAAAGTAACCTTCCCAAAACTGTTGCTGCATAAAAGTATTCATTTCATTTTTGAATGGTACTGTACATCATTTGGTCCTCTGGGACTCTAAATTTATGAACGGTAAGATCAGTTTCAACAGAACGTGTGATAATGTTTTGTGTTATAGGAGAGAACACGAACAGAACTGCTAGATAACCTTCATAATGAGTTACACAAGCGCACGCAGGCAATGCTGGGTCATCCCCTCAGCGCAGATGAAGAGAGGATGGAGAACGGAGGACATGGAGGAATACTGGAGTCTATTAAGGTATAACATCCAAAAGATTAGCCGTCATATTCGCATGCAGCTTGTCAAAACTAAGGGTGAACTATCCTTTTAATGTCTTTTTGTCTCTCTCAGCGGGCGATGCGCGTGCGCAGTCACTCTATGGAGGCGATGGTGGGCTCGCAGAAACACGGCCGCTGCTCTCCGGCGGGAGGAGGCGTACCCACCAGCCTGAGCGGGGTCGGTCTGACACACAGCAACACTGAGGCTGCCAAGAGTTCTGTGAGCATCTTATTATGTTCACAACACACACACACAAATAAACTGGATCTGAATGGCCAAGTTAGTGTGGTAACAGCCACAGTGTAATAGCTTTGTAGTTCACTTTAATTATTTGAATATAACTTGATTTGTATAATTAACCCTGCACATGACTTAAAAAAAACGTTTTCATATATTTTTAGTCTCCAGTGACATCGAGCACCAAGTCTCCTCTGAAAAGCCCAGTGAAGAGACGCTCAGGTCTGTTCCCGCGGCTGCACACCAGTATGGACGGACAGCCAGAGCACCACACACGCAGGTCTGACAAATACGCAAAAAATACACACTTGCAGATCTGTAATCGGTATATATATATATATATATATATATATATATACCATTCTGAAATTTGATAGCTTTCAGAATTGCCTAGATCAAAATTTCTAGTCAATGTTATGTCCCAGCTAACAGAGAACGTTCTCAGAACTTTTACTAACCTTCTGGCAAAGTTATGAATAAACGTTCTTCCAGTGACATTAATAGAAGTTAGTTCAGTATAATCTTGTCTTTAAAAATTTTCTCAAAAGGTTAACACAAATATTAACATTCATGGAATGTTTTGTTTCTGAAACATTTTAGCTGGACATTCATCATTCATGTTTTTTAAATGTTACAAGTTGTTTTAGAACAGTCAGAAAACATTCAAAAATAATGTTCCTATAATGTTTGGTTAAATTATACAACGGGATGTTCCCATAATGTTTGCATAATAAAAAAAATTTAAAAAAGCTTTTTTTCAACTTTTAAAAATCTGGTTTTAAACGATCAGAGAACATTCAGAAATAATGTTTTCACAACTTAATGGGATGGGATTCCCATTAATGTAATGGGAATGTTAGCAAAACATTCTTAAAACATATATTTGATCAGCTGGGGTGCCACAGGGTTTTCAAATTTTATGAATATTTTCATATATACAAATTACATACTGAGTAAGAGAAATTGTATGGTATTACAAAGATTATATTATAAAAACAACCAAATTAAATAATTGTTTCAGAAATGGATTGATTGCAAAATATCTTTTACACTGTCATTATGCTAATGACGCAAATGATTCAAATATTAAATTATCAAGACATTAAAAATCTCGCAAATATTGTAAATATAAATTAAGTGTGTATGTGTGTGTGTGTGTTTTATACTACATACATTATATATGAAAATATGTTATATACTACAGACATTATATATTAAAATATGTTATATACTACATACATTATATATTAAAATATGTTATATACTACATACATTATATATGAAAATATGTTATATACTACATACATTATATATTAAAATATGTTATATACTGCATACATTATATATTAAAGTATATCATTTACTTTTTGTTGCGACAGCTTATGAAACAGTATATGTGTTTTTGATTAATTTTAATGTGAACAAAAATTCCATTAACACATTTTGTTAATATCATTAAAAAGTAATGTTAACTTTGACTTGGGAGTCTCTTAAGTTGACCCCCTTTTGAAAACCCCCGCTTTAAAAAGCTGTACAAATTGATTAAACTTCTTTTTTTTTTTTGTCTGTCATTTTAGTGTCCTAATTGATCAAAGAAGTCTAGACAGTGGTCATCTCTCACAGGAAGTGAGATCAGAGACGTCGTCCAATCCTAGCTCTCCAGAGATCCTAAGCAATGAGAGGTACATTTTTTGTTTCGCCACTGGTACTTAATAAATGTGTACTATCAAGAGCTAATAAGAGTTTCTTTTTCTCTCTCTGTTTTTAAAGGCCATCTCTCAAGCTGAAGGAGGTCATTGGAAGACCAGATATCTCTCGATCCTCTTCCAGCACCAGCAGCTTCAGCAGTGCTGCAGGAGACCCAGAGACTCTGGAGGAGAAAGAGCCTGTACGTAAAAGTGTCTTCACGTTCATTAATGTTGCTATAAGAAGTGTGCATGTTAAGTCTGTTCTCTCATGTCTTCAGATTTCTCCCAGTCTCTCGCCTGTCTTTGGCTCTCTGAGCACAGAGGGACAGGGCGCAGGAACGCCAGTGATTATGTGCCGCAGTCCGACAGGTATTTGAGACGCTTCCCTCACATTCAATATTTGAATTCAAAATGTACAGCTTAAGGAGTCACATGTTATTGAATATCTGTCTATTAAAAGATTTTAGGAATAAAACCTCACCCAGATCCAACCTGAAGTTCCGCTTTGACAGATTGAGCCAGTCTGCTGCTGTAAGACTTTGTCCTTTTATGACTTGCTCTTTCATTCTCTATCATTCTCTGTAGTGTTTCGTTTGTTGTTTAGTCATTTGTTTTAGTGTGTGTGTGTGTGTGTGTGTGTGTTTGTGTGTGTGTGTGTGTGTTTTAAGGTTGGTTAACCATTGAATGGTAACTTTAATCTCTCATTTCACAGGGACATTAGCAAAGGGAATGTCAAAGACGACCAGAACCATTGTAAGTTACTGTATTTATGAATCATAAATGTAGTCATAAATCACATAGTCTTGGGGGAGGAGGTAAACCAGATGCTGCATATACTGAAATAATTTTTTGATACCACATACCCCAAAATTTGATGATCCCCATTGTAAGGGACCTTCTTCCTAAATTATAAAGACAGCTTTTAATTTAACTTCTGAAGACATATTTATGAGTCATTCTATAATTTTGGATACATTTAACAGCCATTGATGGTAATTATATTTTTTCTAACAATTTTCTTCAGATATATGTGACCCTGGACCACAAAACCAGTCTTAAGTCGCTGTAGCAACAGCCAAAAAATACATTGTATGGGTCACAGTTATTGATTTTTATTTTATGCCAAAAATCATTAGGATATAAAGTAAAGATCATGTTCCATGAAGATATTTTGTAAATTCCCTACTGTAAATATATTAAAACTTAATTTTTGATTAGTATTATGCATGGCTAAGAACTTCATTTGGACAACTTTAAAGGCGATTTTCTCAATATTTAGATTTTTTTGCTCCCTCAGATTCCAGATATTCAAATAGTTGTATCTCGGCCAAAAAAGATGATGTATAAATCTCAATTTCGAAAAATTTACCCTTATGACTGGTTTTGTGGTCCAGGGTCACGTATCATATTTTATCCATTAAGAGAAGGCTTACTATATTGCACAAATATTATGTACACCCTATGTTTCAGTTGTTTGTTTGAAATGGCCTTGATGTCTCTTAAATGACTGTTTTTGCAGTGTCTGGTTTTGAAGTGAGTGTGTCTTCAGTTCAAAATAACGGATATAAAAATGTACAAGTTAGCATTATCTATAAAATATTAACGTTACTTCTAAAATCTAAAAACTAGATTTATTATATTTTATTTATTTTTATTTTTCTCTTTTCATAGACCTGAACTTTATCATTGACTCTCTAGAATATATTGCAGCCCAGGACCCAGTTTAAAAACCTCTGATTTATAACATTTTAAAAACATTTACAAATAGTTTTGTCATTTTGACAGGAAAAAAGTATGTGGTTTAATGTGTTTTCCTGCTTTAAAAATATTTCCACAGTAAAGAATGCTGATTTTTAAACTCCCCTGCAAAAATAGACCAGGAGAGAGGCATATGAGTTCAGATTTGAGGGGGGTAAATTCTATTGGATTCCAATGATATAATTCATAGGATACTATTTATTAAATCATATAACCATATAACAAGAACATAGTCTTTTTCACATTGCGAGAGCAAAATAAAAAGCCAAGAATCCACAACTCACAGCTCTTGCTAAGACTAAAAGAGCTGTTGCCACAGAAGGTCTTGTGATATAAAAGTCACAATATAAATGCCAAGCATTTCAATATTTTACTGATGGAATAAAATAGAGCGTGACGGAAATTTACAAGCGTCCATCACAGTGATGGATAATGATTATTTGTAGCACAATCTCTCAGTAACGGGCCATAAAAATCACTCATAATCGTAGATTCTTATTAAGTTATGTTCTTGTCAAAAAGATTTGTCTTATTTGGTATTCACTAACACCCTGAACTCTCCATTTAATCAGAAAAGCAATGGATCAGCACTGAAAATCAAACAGTCGGGACAGAGGAGAGAAATTAAGAAAGGACCCATCACTCAAGCCTGTGCTCCCAATCTGAACATCACAGGAACAAGCTCATACAGTTAGCATCTCCTTTAGTTCCTGCAGGTGGTCAACTGGCACTGACTCGGCACATTCATTGATTTTGCACATTTTGAAGTCTTTCACTGTAAAAATAAATATCTTGTGAGTTAATAAAATACAAACTTGGATTAGCAGGTCAATAATAGTAACTATCCTCACTTAATAGAGTGTGAAAACAACAGATTTTATTTTAATTAACAAAATTCCCAGCACCTGAAACATTCCACAGTATTTCGAGACTCTATTTTGAGACATAAATGAGTGGGACAAACTGTAAAAGCTTTCATGAAACTAGCCACAATAGATATCATTGCACAAATTAATTTCATAACAAATCTAAAATGCACTAGAGTGGTCAAACATAATAAAATAGTCTAGCACAACATTGCTTTCCTCTGTAACTCTCACACTTGTGCAATCCCTGAAAATCTGCCCTAAAATCAGGCATAGTTTGGAGATGGTTTCAGCCTCTGCTGTGTTCCCTGAAGTGTTATTTATAATATATATTATTAGAATTAAAACTTGAAGTATTAAACTCTTTTTTTAAATGGTTACTTCCATGACTGATGCCTAGTATATTAGAAAACCACCAATCACTCTTATGTGTATATATTTATTGTGTATATTCATGGATTGAAATGCAGAAGAATAAACCTTTATTGTCACAAACAGCTGAAATGTGTGAAAATGTGACACTTTTAGAAGGACTTCTCCATTCTGGTCTTTGGTCAAATTATTTTTTTGTTTCCTTATAGTATAAATTGCTTAACAGAAAGAGCTGTGTTAATTTATTTCTCTATGATTGTACTGCTGTGTAAAGGTTTCTGTATGGCAATGTTGATTTTGTTAAATAAAATATTGTATTTTAAAGACTTTGTTCCATTTGTAAGCCAGGCCATAGCTACTAAAACCCTGACTATATAATTTACTGGGCCTTTTACCACTTTTGCAACAATATGTAAGGAGGGTCCTTACAATCTGATAAACAGATGTTTGACAGTATGTACAGATATACAGTGGCCCCAAAAAATTGGATGCTTAAAGGTGATGCTATTTTAAAGATCATTATTTGGTGTAACAGAATATGTTGACATCCTTTAATTTTCAAAAAAACACATTATTTTTCAAATACTGTACATTATTGTAGGTCCTCTATGCCCCGCCTCTCTCAAACACGTCGTTTTCAACAAAGCCCCATCCTTTGACAAGTGCAGTCTGCTCTGATTGGCCAGCTGACCCAGTGCATAAAATGCGTTGCACAAATTCGAACATCTGGGTTGTGCTGTTCTGTTGTAAATAAATCTTAACCAATGATTCCTAATTGCATCTACTTCCGGAAGGCCAAATAAAGTGCTTTTGCTTTCGCACAGAAACACACAGCGTCTCCCTGACATGCAGCTTCAACACTAACTGCGGTTACTGAAACCACGCCTTCTTTCTTTGCGTGCACATTTGGGCAGCATTATGCTACTATTTCCACATCCTGATGTAGACATGTGGGGGTGTGTTAGAATGAGCCGTTTTAGTTAGGCGTGGTTGACTTAACTTTTATAAAGAATATCTCTTTGGATTTGAGACTTTAGTCTTTGCAACTTTACAGATATTCTTTATGCACCAATAGCTTGTAACACTCCAAAGAGAAAGGAAAACTTGAAATCGCATCATATGACCCCTTTAAACCACAGTTATATACATATTAATACTTCCTGCATGAATTTCATTAAGGTAAATAGGTAGGTGGGTAAATAAATAAATATACACTGCCGTTCAAAAGTTTGGGATCAGTAAGATTTTTTATGTTTTTTAAAGAAGTTTCTTATGCTCATCAAAGCTGTATATATTTGATCAAAAATACAGAAAAAAAATAATTTTGTGAAATATTATTGCAATTTAAAAGAATAGTTTTCTATTTTAATATACTTTAAAATATAATTCTAAGCCATCCTAAAAATTTGTATTTTTATTTCTAAAAAAAGTTATTTTGATGTAAAATATATTTTCTGATTGTGCTTTTAATATAGAAGTAAGGCTACCAGTAAAATGTCTTGTAAACTTAATTTACACTAAATGTAGTTTGTAATTTAGTTTAGGTGATAGGCCTAAATGATTTTAATTAACATTTAAAGATAATTAATATTAGGATTCTTTCTCTGTGCATCACATATAAATACATTACATCCTAAGTATGAACGTTAGTGAATGCATACTCTTCTTTAGTCAAAGAGGGCGGGTCACAATCTAGCAGCGACCGTCTCCTGGGCGGGGTGTGTGTGTGTCGCGAAGCTCGAGACGAGCAAGTAGGTATAAGTGTTAGCACAGCTAGCGCGAGGCTCCGTTCAATTCACTGAGAGTTAGCCGTTAGCCGTGAGCCGTGAGCTCATTTTAGTGAGTGATTATGGCGGCGGTGCGCAGCCTGCAGGTGTCTGTGAAGTCCGAAAGCGCGTCTGATCGGTCAGAGTCAGACTCGGAATCAGACTCGGATCGAGATGCCCGGGAAGCGGAACCCATGGAGGTGGAGGAGGGAGAGCTGGTGCTGGAGTCCATCCCTGTTCGCCGAAGTTTAAAGGAGCTGTTGCCGGTGAGTTAGTCCGTAGGCCTCTTTCAAACCACGGCCTCGCGTAGTACAGTAAGCCGGTCGTTGGTGACGCCGATGCGGTGTTGAGATCAGAGCTAGGGTTCATCGCAGCACTATTCCTGCTTTTGAACAGGCTATGGTAATGGGTTCATGGTGGGTTAGAATACATTTGCATAATGTGTAGTGATGGTCTGTTGTTTCGGAGGCTCTTGGGAAAGTGATGTAAATTTCTGGCCCAAGTTTCCAGATACTGACAGACTTTTCATTTGGCGCAGTTATTCCTATACTAATTGGTTAAAGGGGTCATGTGATGCTATTTTAAAGATCATTATTTTGTGTATTTGGTGTAACAGAATATGTTGACGTGCTTTAATGTTCAAAAAACACATTATTTGTCAAATACTGTACATTATTGTAGGTCCTCTATGCCCCGCCTCTCTCAAACGCTTCGTTTTCTACAAAGTCCCTCC